TTTGTTAATTTGCGGTGGATCAGATAGTGGAAAAACTAATATGATTCTCAATCTTCTTCTTGGTAATAAAATCCAACATTTATACAAGGAGAAGAAAGGGGAGCGATATATCAAGAATGACGATCTAGTTTTAATCGGAAAGCATATCCATAAGCCCAAATGGATATTGGTGAAAAACTGCTATGAAATTTTTGCAAAGGGTCCAAAACCATATCGGGAGAATGTAACATTTCGTGCATTAAAAGCGAATGCAATTCCAGACATAACTAAATTTTCTCCAGATAGGAATACAGTTGTAGTCTTCGAGGATCTTTGTGCTGAATCAAAAAAAATTCAGGATCGGATTGTTCCATATTTTATTAGTGGCCGACATCAGGGTGTATCAAGTATATATGTGAGTCAGAAGTACACACAAACCCCTAAAATTATTCGTGAGAATATTTCACGCTTAGCTTTATTTCGAGGCTCAGGGAGTCGTGAAGATATTTGCAGAATTGTGCGCCAATATACAGATGATCCAAAAAAAGCATCCAAGATTATTGACAAGCATCTGCGAGATCGGAATTTCGTGGTCTTCGATTTTACTAAAGCAACCAATGATCCTCTCGCAATTAGATTAGGTTGGGATATGCCTCTGAAATTGGATTTATAAGATTTTTTACATGGCCAATTATTAATCACATCAGTGAAAATTTTCGCTGGCAAATTAAATATGTATACGCACACATTGTTAAAAATTAGTGATATCAAATAAAATTTTTATTATTCTCTCGTCATGTATAAAGCTATTGCCTAAATAAACACGTACACCATCTTAATCACTGAAAATATTTTATTTTTATATAAATCATCTTTATTATAAATTTATTCTGTGATAGTTAAAATTAGACGGCATCCAAGCTATAATTTACAAAACAATTATTTTATTTTTTTTTGGTTTTCTTGGATGGTGAAGCAATTGGTGGTCCCGAACTTGGAGGTCGAGTCATTTTACGTGGCTTTTTAATAAGTTGACGATAATACTTAATCATTCGTATCTATACAAATGTTATGGAATGAGCCTATAAACATCTATGAATTTAAACAACGAAAAGAGCCTACCTTAAATTTTTTCACTATTTCGATGACATTTCCGATTTGTAACAAGTCCACATCCGAATCTGGTATGATGAAAGTATCATATTCGTCTACAATGTACATCTCATCAACTAGATGCATGCTTAGAAGATGATACTCACGCCCTGTTCAAAGTGATCAAGTCAATCAGCGATTTTGATAAAAAAAAATGTCGGACTAGTATAAGCACTTACCAAATACTAAAATAGCAAATGATTGCAATTGTGAGGTATTCTCATCATCAGATTGGTATGCACGTTGATAGTATAGCGATATCATCATTGCTATGATTATAATTAGTTAGAATCAGATTTCATTAAATAGCCAGAATTACAGATATACCTTTCAATAGCTTTTCAAGGTCGTCATTCTTGTCAGAAATATCTGTTGTGAATGCATTACCGACAACTTCAACAAAACCAACGCCAATTTTTACACCATTGATATTCATGTATAATATACCGTCGTGTTTGTCGCCAAGTTTTCTACGATCATCTTCCTGCTTTGAAAAATTTCGTTGTCGTTTTCGTGATTCATTTTCGATTTCTCCACTAGTTTATCATTAATAAGAATTCAGATTTATACAATTAGGAATGACAGCTTTCGGCATGAACACTTACGTTTTCATCCATAGCACATCCTCAACATCATAAAAAATTGATGCGAGAAGAGGGTTTACGATGTCATCTCGGTATTTAAATTCACCAGATTCTTTATCAAGCAATGCACTGTGCTTATGCAGTAGTTGGAGAGTCCTGGTATATGAAAATTTGGTTATTTCATTTGCCAGTCACAACAATGCAAAAGAAATCTACTGCAAAACTTACATCTGCGCATAAATATTTTGAAGCCAAAGCATCTCTTAATTTTTTCGGTGGTCATATTTGTCGAACTTCTGTTTTGTAAAAGAGGTCATAAGACCGTTGAGATCGACATAAAACGTATCCTCATTTGAATTTTCTTTGATGATTTGGTGGTTATCGTCCACCAGTTTTTTTAATGGGCATTCGTTCCAGCACTTTTCAATCTCTTCTTTGCTAATATATGTTTCGGCCTCATTATTATTAAAGAATATATTTATTAGTTCGATGTCCATAGCTCTCATCAAAGTATAAAAATAAGTTTACCTCTATCCATTTACTCTCCATAATGCGCATCTGTTCTGTTGATAATTTCATAAAGAGTTGTTTTGTATAGGGAAATTCGATATCAAAGAGACAAACAATATTATATTTTTCCAAGTGCGATTTCGTGTTTAAACTCGCCAGCACCTAACAAAATTCACATTTACCCCAGTAAGTAATATAGAAACGCATTAGCGGATATAGTTGAACTAAGATTACCTCAATTTTCGGAAAATTAAAAGATTCTGCCTGAAAAAATTCTGAATGCAGTTCTTGATTATCTTCTTCCGATTCAAATATCCTTTTCAATATCCGTCCTTCATTATAGTCCGTTTTTTGTTTTTTTCTTAGACCATGATGACTTTGTTCTGATGTTGCTGACTCACCCTAGATGTTATATCGAAAAAAATTGAAATTAGTGATGACCTCTAAGTTTAGCGCCCAGACTCGGAAAGCACGAATAAAACATTGATCTTACTTCTTCAAGTAATTCCTCTGTCCTTTCCATATAGCGCAATGAGAATTTCGTTGTATTGAAATCACCGGACTTTTTTAGCAGTTCACGACCATTCTTATCGAAGGAGTTCTCAAGATCCCGTTCTTCCTGCCTCTATAAAATTATAGAAATTAATATATTATGATCCTGCGTTATGTAAAAGCCATATACTACTTACCATTTCAAAATTTTGATCCAGAACTTTAAAAAAATCAACAATTTCTTTTCTTTGAAATTTCTCTTCTAAATTGTTGGCTAATTTTTTGGCCTTTCTCTTTATCCCAGCAAGCATAGCAGTGGAATTACTAATTTTTTCAAAAGTTCTCGCAAACGCGTCAATAATATCTTTTTTGCTATCGGAAGTATATTGTACACGTGCTTCAAGATATTTAAGAAAATTTAGGATGCACCATTCCGTATTATCAAAGTTATATACAAAGTCAGTAGCGTAATGATCAAAATCCATAATCTAAAGAATAGTGAAAAAAAAGGTGTTATGAGTAATTTGAGTAGGTCCACCATAATTCCAAAAACCGCTAACATATGAGATAATTATGAAAGCAGAGCTGTAACACTGGAAGAGAGGACCCGGAGTAGGCATTAAAAGCCACAAGTAGTGAGTTATAATGGTTATCCGGCACCCACTAATCCAAACATCGGCCGAAGGGTTAGACCATACGGGCGTAGGATACTAGTCTCATTTGGTATACTGGATGAGAGACCCAGGAGTAGGCACTAAGAGCCTTTACACAATCTTTGTAACGAGTCAATAGTGGTTATCCCGCAACACTCTGATCCAAGCATCGGTCGCAGGGCTAAACCTTACGAGCGTAGGATACCGTTTGATCCTTCTTTCTAGATGAAATTACTTAACTTATAAACTGTTCAGAGAATGTCTTTTCGTATGAACGCGCAATTACGAAAAAAATCTATTTAAAATCGATCAGACAACCAATTACGTAAGCTACGATAGACCTGTATCACCTGATTTATTACATAATTCCAATGTTCGCATGATCGGCCACATTGCATCATAGGTGTAACCATGACGATCAAGGCCGATCGATTTCACATGATTATTTCTCAGACGAACATAGTTTTCCACCTCGCTCTATGCTTTCACAGTTACTATTTGGATACCATTTTGATAAGCCTTCCAACACTTAAGATAATATGTTTGTTTTCCAAAATATTCACCACAAGCCCATTGACTCTATACCTTTCGCATAATTTTTCTTTTATAATCTTTATTACATATGGGACAAGATACTAAACTATTAAACACAAAATTATCACCATAATTCTCACTATATCTCAAAGATAGATAAGGAAACTGCTCTAGCACTTTGTTAATAATAGATTTTCACTTTTCATCTAAATCATTAGGTAAAATAGAGATTGCTCAAATCAGCCTATCAGATAATTGCGAATAGTCCAAAACCATATCATGAAGATATCACATTTTGGGCTATGAAGTCTGATAAGATTCCAAAGCTGGATTCATTCTCTTCAGAAAAAGGTAAAGTGGCTATATTCGAAGATGTATGCGCTGATCTAAAAAAAGTCCAGAAGAAAATCGTTCCTTATTTTACTGAAGGGCGTCATAAAAATATTAGTAGTATGTACATCACAC